GTAACCTGGTGCGAAGGAAGATGATGGCTCCCGCCGTCGCCGTTTACTGGGGAGACAGTGGCTTAAGTACTGAGAGAGTCTACTGTAAGAAGTGTATCATACGTCACCAGATGATACACGTGTGGGCGTATGATAACCTGTGCCAGAGGGTGAGCTATATAGTATATAGTGCTATGGCATACCCTCTGGTAGGGCCTCCCTAAGTAGTATATACAGTGCGCGAAATTTTCATAAATACACCCCACATCATTGCGATAAAAGCACTTTTGACACTGCCTCGAGAAGCCGATAGGGCATCACCCATGGTACGCGCGTGCGTGAGCGCGAATCTGAAGCCCAATTCTGTCAAACAAAAAAGCCCTCCAAGTTGTGCCGCAAAATGTGGGCGAAATTTGCATATGAACACGAAAAACCATACGATACAGCATTTACTGCCATGCCAAGTTGGCGGTAAACCGAAAGGGTAACAACTTTGGTGACTGCTATAGTTAGATACATAAGCAATGCACATTGTGTGTGCCTGAAAAACTTCGCATCGCAAGGAAAAATGCCTCGCGGAAAGCTACTGTCAGACTTCGAGAAGGGGCAGGTTGTGGCCATGAAACAGGAGTGTTTGAGCGTTCGCGAGATCGCTCGCACGCTTAGCAGGTCCCCAGGTGCAGTACACAACGTTTTGAAGCACCCAAAGCGGGTTGACGGACGCAAAAGCACTCGCAACGCAACAAAAATTTCTAAGAAGCAAACGCGGCTTTTGCTGCGAGAGGCCAGTAAGGGAGAAAAATCATGCCGGGAGCTGAAGCTGAGCCTTGACATTGATTTGGGCGTCCGTCGCGTTCAGCAAATACTACGTGACGCACCGCATTTGAAGTACAAGAAAATGCTGTCGCGTCCGCAGATGCTCCAGAGGCACAAGAGTGCTAGACTGGAATGGAGCAAAAAGATGCTGGAGAACGGAAGCGCATTTTGGCGCCGGGTAATCTTTTCGGACGAGAAAAAGTTCAACCTAGATGGGCCAGATGGGTTGGCATGCTATTGGCACGACTTGAGGCGAGAGGAACAAGTCTTTTCGACGAGGCACCAGGGAGCAGCATCTTTGATGATTTGGGGTGCTATCTCTTGCTACAGTACGTCTTATCTGGTCCGTGTTAAAGGTAACATGGACTCTACGCTTTATTATGAGGTACTAGAGGAGGAACTGCTATCACCTGCTGCTGAAACGCTCGGTGAAGAATGGATATTTCAGCAAGACGGGTCATCCTGTCATCGATCAAACTACATCAAGAATTGGCTTTCGTCGAAAAATGTCAAGTTGTTGGGGTGGCCAGCGAAGTCACCAGACTTGAACATAATCGAAAATGTATGGAGCTTGCTTGCCCGCCGTGTTTACGGGCATGGGCGTCAATTTAGCAACCTGGAAGACCTCGCTGATAGAATCATAGATTGTTGGAGTTCTATTTCCGAGGAGTACCTGAATAAGCTCTACGAATCAATTCCTCGGTGCCTTGTGGAGGTACTAGAGAAGAAAGGTGGCCCTACGAAGTATTAGCGCTTCACAGTAAACATTGCAAGTTACTGTACCATATGGGTTTTCGTGTTCATATGCTAATTTCGCCCACGTTCTGGGGGATAACTTGGAGTGCCTTTTTTATATAAATGGGGTTCAGATTCGCGCTCACGCACGCGCGTACCATGGGTAATGCCCTATCGGCTTCTCGAGGCAGTGTCAAAAGTGCTTTTATCGCAATGATGTGGGGTGTATTTATGCAAATTTCGCGCACTGTAGAGGGAGGCACTACTAAAGTAGGCACTATTGAGCGACCCCCCCTGTATGTGTTTCCGAAATACAATCCAATCGTTGCAGAATACCGCAGCCCGCGAAGATGGTGACTGGAATGCACGCTCTACCAAGAGCAGGATGTGAAGGCTGGAGCAATCAACGGCGGTCGGCAACAACGGTTTGGCGTTCGATCACCTCGTTGTCTCTCGTACAAGGGCGTAGGAACGACAGAAGTCGTTAACATTCGCCCATTAGCCACCAGCCCGTCCGCCCAGGACAGCGCGGCCAGTCCGCCACGTGTAGCCACTATGTCACGCCCACAGGCACGGCCCTCCACGCCATTCGCTGGCAAGTCAGGGAGAAATCTCACACGGGGGATATTGCACAAGTCCCGCTTTTTCATCGCTGTATGATCTCATCGACATCGCCCGCCCACGATCCGCCGCCGCTCACAACCTTGCCTCACAACCTTGCCCTTCCCCCATCGCCACCCGCGCCGCGTCCCTCCCGCCACCGCATCCCCCCCCCCTCCCTCGATCAACCTCACCATGGCCTCCCGCCTCCTTTCCCGCACCGTACTCCTGCACGCGCGCCGCACGGCCCCGCGTCTGCGCCCGTCGCTAGCGGCGTCCAT